TCACGGACAAAATATAAATCTCACTGACCAGCTGCTTCCGTATGAATATAGTTCATTTACCGTAAAACCTCTAATAGAACGACACCCGGAACGTCCACTTTAAGCCTATATATCTCACTTTTTGCAAAAGATATCAAAAAGTGTCTAACTAGTAAAATGTTGCTGATATCCTGATAAACATTTTACTAGTTAACCACTTTTTGATACCTTTCAAAAGAAGTGAGATATATAGGCTCAAAGTGGACGTTCCGGGTGTCGTTCTATTAGAGGTTTTACGGTAAATGAACTATATTCATACGGAAGCAGCTGATCAGTGAGATTTATATTTTGTCCGTGAGAAAAATATCCTCCTTTACAGAAACTGGGTCACTTGTCCGAAACTAGGTGTCCAGATGTCTCTGTGACAGCACGTATTCGACTCTGGACCTACTCCAGAATCTTGATTTGACAACTCAAAATCTTCGGCTTGTACCCGAAGGTTCAAAGAATCAGCGACACTGTAGTGCCACATCATAGTATGGTTTTTTTTCTAGAGGATCAATGATCCTGGGTATTTGAAATGCGATATGAGTTCCTTTAGAATCTGATCATAGACATAACAAGGGCGTCTCTCTCATACTTGAGTCACCACTAAACCCTCCCTTCCGAAAATATTTATTTGTTTTTATTCCGTACGCACAGAAACTTATTGAGGTATTTTTGATCCGCAAGTGGGTGGAGGAAATGGAATGAAGATGCTCCTAGTAAATGTAGAGAGAGAGAGAGAGGCAGAGAACGAAAGGATTACATGGTGAGGAATGACGTGATGGAGATATAAGCTACAGTATGACGACTTTTTTTAAACTGGATCTGAATTTGAAAGAGTAAGAGAGTTGGACTGATTTCTACAATCAAATGAAAACTAGATTTAGAAATTTCAAAAGGGAAGAGAAACAATTTTTATAAAATCCTATTTAAATATTAAAAAAAACAAAATAACATTTTGAAATTCAAATTACTTCGCCATAAAAGATAAATGTGAATCTTCGAACACTTAGACATTTTCAAACGGAAATCGGAATAAAGAAAGGAACAAGAGACGACACAGGAAGGTCATATAGTGAACACAGACAAAGACCATTCCTAACTTTGAGATCTTCTAGAATCTCTTTTTTTTTGTTCTTCTTTTTTATTGTTTTGTAATCAATCATTCCTAGTAGGTTATGAAGTATTGATATGGGTGTAAATGACGAATAACCATTTTTCGTGAAAAATTGCTAACAGTTTGTGACACTTTTTTCCAGGGTTTTAGGTTGTCTCATGTAAGGTCTCCCACAGAAAATTTTCAAACTGCAAATTTAATTTTACCTACCATGAAAAAATTTGTGTGTCAGGTCTGGAGCATAATTTCGGCATTTTGATCTGATTTTATAGATGCTCAAGGTGAATTGAAAAAGTCTTAAAAAATTAAATAATTAGTGGTTTTTGAACCCTGTCTAAAACTTTACTATGAGTTCAATGGCTCAAAAGGAACACAATCATGTATTTTTCATTTTCTATGAATGGTTTTTCGATCTGTTAAATAAAACTTTTTTAGAATCGAAAAACCTCAAGAAATCGCAATTTGCTTTAATTTCTCTAAAAATTCATAAACATCTGAGGACTGAATACCAGAAATAAATTTTCCTAGATCATCGAATAAAGTTATCGGAATTCCGGAGTTCTATTGGCTATGGTTATAAGAAATGAACCGGTCTAAAAGGCCCAAAGTATCCCGAAATCCAGTTCAGCAATCACATAAAATCTAGTCACAGTTCCAGGTTCTGCGATTTAATTAATCCATTTGCCAGTTGACATATCGTAACATTTCGTGATGGTTTTTGATTCGGTCTTCTTCGTGTTTTGTGTTATGTAACAAATTAGGTTTCACTTAACACAATATGAAAGTTTTGGTTGCATTGCTTTATTGGTTTCGATTTTCAAAAAACAGGATATTATCCATCGATTTCTAAAGATGAATGCTTCAGATACCCAGAAAGACACCTAGATTTGTCTTCCCCCATTTTATCTACTGTTTCATCTTCTTTTCGTCTAATTTTCTGAACACACTTCTTTTCCATCCCTATCCCTCTCCTTTCCTTCTTTGAAATCTCGATTCAAAATGTTTTCTGCCACGTCATCATCTTCTTCGATGCCCCCTTCTTCCTATAATTCATATGAGAAGCTGCCACGTCATCACCTCCATCGTCCGGGGAACAACTCATTCTATATTCCGCTTCATACTCTTAACTATTTTCAATGTGTTATCCTTCTCTACTTTTTTGTTTTTACTGTTTACTACCACGATCGTTATGGAGGGAAAATTGAAAATGTTCAAATCACTTCGGCAGTTTTTGATTCGAATTCCAAAGAACTCATACTCATTTTTCTATTTGATTCTCCTCACACACCGAGAGAACTATTTTTGGGATTCGGATCGAGTGATGCAGAAACATTGAGAAATGAGACGCAGATTGAATTGAAACCACCGCCCGGATTCGCATCGAATCGACAGATTTTTGTAAGATTTTTTAAAAACTCCGTAAAATCTGAAATAGAAAAGCCCCCACCCTGTCAAGTTTGATCTCAATTATCTCAATTCCTATGCAAAATATCAGAAATTTCAAATTTACTGGGTTCTTCTATTACAGGTTTTACAGCATAAGGGCCAACATTTCCACCTCGACAGATCATGGAATATTTCCATTTCATTCTCTCCTAGGATGTTTTTCTTCTTTCCCACAATCCATTATTCCAGATGTGGTCTTCAATTGAAAACGAAAAACCAGAATCTCTTACCGTAAATGCTGAACATCCAAAATCGTTACTTCTCAGGGATCACACGGGTCATCCATTTTTAGAGGTAATTTTTCGAAAGTAATTCGTACTTAAATTAATAAAATTTTCAGTTATCACTTCAAGAACCATATTCTGACTTTCGAGATGTTGTTAGCTGTTTCAGTCCGATATCTGGCGATTTTGAAATGGTTTTAACATGTAAGTGTCATCAATTATTTGGCTCTTGTGGATCATTTTGGTCCTTAAAACCTTATTCTTTGAATTTGTCTTTTTTATTTTAAAATAGTCTTTATATCAGAAATCGTATTGGCATTTGCATTGTGAAAATAAATAAAAACTTACAATTAGAACCAAAAAATCCTAAGAGCCAAAACAACCCATAAGAGCCAATAATTCTTTAAAAACTGAGAGAAGCAAAACTTTTTCAGCATTAACTTCGTCAATAGCAATGGGTTCATTCGTGAGCATTCCATATGAAGAACTTACCGGAGAGCTTTATAAATTTTTACGGATATTTGAGAAATCTGGGAATCTCCGACTAACAGCGTTTCCGTTGATTCGTCATGAACCACATCTAGATTCAACGGAAAACTATTATTCGAAAATGCTGAAACTCAAAACGGATGTGGCATTTTTACATTGTTGGCTGATGCATAAAAACCGAGCTAAATTCATGGTCTTCCAAAATTCGGCAGAAATAGTTCTTCCACTTTCGACAACATTGGAGAATCCTGTTTATATTTCTGAATTCACCACGATGTTCGAAGCACATCGTGTCGACGGATATTCAATTTTGGAATATAATGCGAGGATAACAACTGATAAAAGATTGGGAGACTTTCTAGATTTCTCAATACGACAAGCTATCGAATCTTCAAAAATTGAAGAATTGAATGGAAACTCAAGAGCATTGGTTATGAAAATGGTTCGTCTTGATTTTTCATTTCATCGTTTTTCCCAATTATGTTTTGTTTCAGCACCCCTCAAACTCTCAGAATCTCTATCAACGCGGGAAAATGTATCCGTTTTTCAAAAATGTTCCATCTCCTCCAAAAGTAATTCCAAAGAAAACAGTGAACAAAATCAACAGGATAATTGAAATAATCGAAGAGAATGACGCTTTTTGGACACTTATCAAAGAATGTTCGGAAAATTCAAAAGTGTGGAAATGTTCATCCGGTAAATGTGTCAGGCCCTCATTGAGGCATCAATCGCTTCATGGATGGTATTCGTATGATATTCATTTTTCAATATTTTTTAATGTCGAAAGTTTTGATTGTCCGGATTGAAAATGAATTAGTTTAAAAATTATTCAAAGTTTCTCAATTGTTGAAAATCAATCAGTTTCCGCCCGGACCGAGGGCTCAACCTCCTGGTTTTCACTTACTGTATTTTACACTCAATTTTCTATTTCAGAATTTTGAAGTTTCAGAGTCTCCAATTTTTCTGAACATTTGAATTTCCAAAAAAAAGTTTGATTTTCAAATTTCCCGATATTTTGAATTCTGGATTCCAGAATTTTTAAAATCTGAAAACCGGACTATATACATATTTACATTCCTGCTTTTCTGAAAATCCGATCTTTTGTATATCTGAAGGCTTTCTAAATTTCAGGATTACTGACTTTTCAAATTTGTGGATTCCGAAAGTTCAAAGTTTCGAATTTTAGAACTTCAGGATTTTAGTATTTTCTAATTGCCGCATTTTCCTATCTCCCAAATCTTCCGAACTTTCTGAATTCCACAATTTCAAGATTTTCTAAATTTACAAAATTACGGAGTTTCAGGGAATTTGAACTTCCGACACTTAGAAATATGAAACTCTCATAACCTTCCGTACTAAATCACGTAAGAAAGGTCGATAACCCAAAAACAGAGAACAAAAAATAGAATTTCCTGAAGGTGCGATGCCGGAAAGTGAGAATGAATTTTTTGAAACCTCTAGGAGTGCGAAAAAATGACACAAGCTTTGTTGAAAATGTGTATTTGATGTTGGTGTGTCTACCTAAACTGATCTCCTAATCTTTAAACTGTCACTAAAACATTTAAACTCGAAATACCGATCTTTTGGCCTTTTTCAGTTTGAAAAGTTAGTGAATGGTATTAACGGAATCCTTTTAATCCTTTTAATCACACCGTAGTGTTTTTTGTCACGTTCGTTCAAAAACTATGTTATTCAAAGTTTGAATTCCAAACTAACGATGCTGAAACAATTGTGCTGGTTCTCCGTTGCTCTATTATTTTTTGAGCCCAGTTTAGCAACAGATCAAGTGATGGTTCCCACTTTTGAAACGGTTTTACGAGATTATGGAAAGCAATGGATCGTCGAGGTGGGGCATTCCAAACCCAAAAGTAATAATTCAAGATTTTCAGTTAACATGCAACTTCAATGAAATTGAAACAGTCGAAGAGGCGAGAAGATTTACAATGGAAGCTATTGATAACAATTGGGTAAGAATTTTCTTTTCTTTAATTTGAAAAAATTTAAATTTTCAGGCGCCAGTTCTGAGAAATCCAGTTTGTGCAGGACAAGATTCTCAGCCTTCGCTAATGAATCCCATTGATAAAGTGAAAGAGAACGCTGAGAATTTCATTCTTCAAAGAGAAGCTCTGAAAATGTATATTTCTGAGTTACTGCAACGTGCTACAAGTTCTGGAGTACTCAATTCTATAGAAGCAGAATCGGTAGTCTTGTATGACTTTTTTATGCTCTAAAAATTGGTATTTGCAGATTCGGGAGAAGTTTTGGGAAGTTGAATTACGACAACAAATTGGTTTCGATGTTCTGAAAGAGAAATTTTTCAAAAAAGTGAGCGAAGACTATTCAGATGAAGTTCCTCGAAAACTGGAAACAATTTCAACAGAAATTTTGGAAACTGATACTTTGTTGAACTCCCGTTTATATTGGACATACTATTAATAATGAACATTTCTTTATCATTTAATTTTCATTCAGCAATCAGAGTCCAGTTAAGTCTCTCAGCACTCGAGAAATGATAGTAATAGTAATCTCCAGTTAGTTTTTCAAATTTTGTTCCAAAGTCCTTGTGAGTTTTGGCGAATTCGGTAACGGTTCTGTTCTTGAAAATGGGACGCATCAAGGTGAAATTCGATTTACAGTCTCTGTCGGATTTCCACCAAATATCACGCATCTGGAATTGTCAAAAAAAAACTTGATTAAAATAAATACAACAGTAAGACTTCCATTTCGGTCGGTCGAAAATCGGCAACCGCCGACCGTCAAATAAATTTCCCGACCGAATGGAAAACTTATGCAACATACTCGACTTGCATCCTTCTCTGTGAAATACTTGGTATCGATGGTAGCTCTGAACATGTATCTCACGAATTTTCTCATCGCATCACGCTGAAGCAAAAACGACCAAGCTTGTTCTTCTGCATAGGTTCTATTGGAAAGCTTGTTGTTTTTATTGAGGTAAGCGTCTTTGGTTTTCTGAAACACCAAAAATGTTGAAAATGATATTAGAAACTGAGCACAGACCCAGTAAGTAGGAGTCCAATCGGTTACCACCTTGTAAGCTTGAAGTGTTGTATCTTTATGGTTCACATCAAAAGTCAGCTGAAATGTCTTTTAAAAAATTGAAACAAAAATTCGTCCTTACCTTCCACACAGCCGTCTGATTAGCGTAAAGAAAAATAGATCTAAATCCCCAGGTCGTTATCTGATCCCATGCATCATGTCCGACGAAACACGAACAAATCAAAAAGAGGAAAGTGACACTTTTTGAAACAGACATGGTTTGGAAAACGATTCTAATTCTCAATTTACGTCATTATATACCAAGTGCAGGGATGAATAAAACTTTGAACACACTCTCACAACATGTTAAATCTGTAGGTCAAAGAATGGTAAAATAGGGTGTGAGTAATATAATAATTCGCGTACAAATTGTTGATTATGCGGATGTGTGGTGTCATACACTCTATTTGAAACGATAATACTAAGTATTAGATCTGAAACTGAGTTTTGAGGACGAAGTGGAATACAGTTTACTGACCAGTTCAGTCAAAACTACAGAACCAATTTTGTTTATACATATTCAGATGTAGCAAATGAGTCCAAGATATCACGATTGAACATACTTTTTTCGGGGATTTCGGTTTTCTTTCGTAATAATATTAAGCAAATATAGAACTTTCATATCTTTTTGATTCAATAAAAATTTACAAAGGGTCGCCGATGATGCCCGTAACAACATCTAAACGCATTCAAGAATGTCGAATTTTCAGCGCGCAATGTTTTACTAATTTTTTATATTCCTCAAAACTGAAACCCCTCAATCTGCCGGTTGACCCTTGATTGTCCGCTTGTTTTTGCCGAAATCACTGGACTCTTCTTCCTGAGTCGATCTTCATCAGTGTAAACCACGCGGTCCTTCGTGTCAGCTGCTATCAAATCTATCAAAGTTTCAAATTTCCGAAGTCTTTCTTTGCAAAAACTTTCCAAAAATCAGAAAATCATATCTTCTATTCTGTAAAAGTTAAGGAAGGGATGTTTCAAAGATCCAATGTCTACCTTTTCAAGGTTATCCTAAAAGGATTTCGATCTGATGTAATTTCTAGAAACATTTCGTTCGTTCTTTGATTTAGCATCCGTGGTTGTGAGATTTCGTGATAAGTCTTCTCGCGCAAAATAGAGACCGCCTGTAGAAAATGATAAGGAAGTGAGAGAGAAAAAAGGGGATACCCCCACACAAAGGATCTGAAAAATGATAAATGATAAAAATCGGGGTGGTAGAATATTTCAAAGGTATACCGCCAGAAATTGATGTGGTTTTGCAAGAAAACTAGGTGAACTGGTCGGAAAAAAGCGTGAAAGATGTTTCGTATTTTGATCAGATCGAAAAACCAAAACCGTGAATACTGTAGTATGGAGACTGCACTACAGCTATATCCAGAATGATGTCCCAAAACTTTTTTGACAAGCGGAGTTCGGAATAAAATTAATTTCTCAGAATTTTGAATCCGGAATGGAAAAAGCGCGGAACCTGGAAAACGGAATACGTGATCCGGAATTTGAAATGAATAAATTTTCTCGGAATCCGGAAGCACAGATTTGAACGTTTTTGAGACTTTTATCGAGTCATAAGCATGCTTACCGGAGCATGAAAGTTAAGTTTTTGAGCTTTAGGCATAACTTGGCTAAAAATATTTAAAATGACAGTGAAAATTTCAATAATTGGTCAGTAAACTGGTCAAGTTCCAAATCAATTGATCAACTTTAAGCTGAGTTATCGCTTGCCAAAGTCGCTTCATCTTTGGATAATCATAACAATACATAAACTTGAGGAATCGTTTTGAAAAATTCAGTAGCTTTGATTCAAACGTAAAATTATATTCCTACCGATTTTGGTGCTTCCAAGGTTCATGTCTAAAGACATACTCGTTTTTATCAGTACCGGTATTTGTGCTACCCCGTACATGTCAAACATAACGTTTCATTTAACCTGTGATCCATAAATCTGTCATTCTAAAATCCAAAAATACCTTTTTCAGGTGTTTTCAATACATTTCATAGACAAGACAGTAGTTGTAAACACAACTTATTCTCTTTACAACCTACATCTGTCCACCAGAAGGGTGCTCTATTTCTCGAGGAGGTTGGCTCACAGGAAGAAAAAGACAACTGGTGTAGATACACACCTCCGATAAGATGGGCCTTTTCTCTATTTCATCCGTCTTCTTGTTATTTGTTTAGATGGTTCTGAATCCATTGAATTGAATCTAAAAAACAATTTTAATTTCCTTCTAAATAAAATTCATAATTTCCAGAAACACTCTAATAGCCCCACCCCCCACAAAGTCTCTTTTGAGTCAATATAAATCGGTTCCTGTAAAATATGTCAAAAAGTGGTCAACTGACAAAATATTATTGATATTATGATGAACGTTTTGTCAGTTGACTACTTTTTTATATCTTTTACCGGAACCAAGATAAATTGACTCCAAGTTGAAAGTTAAGGGTGACGTTCTATTTGAGTGTTTACGGGGTATATCTCATCCTCACAAGCAGTTCTACTTTTATTGTTTCTCTTCTAAGGCTCAGATATTATAATTATTATATCAGTTAAGAACTACAGGCAATTCTCAACGATTTATCTCTCTCACTTCTACAGTTTCTCATTTCTGACTCCGCCCATATTCTCATACTATTCGTCACCTTTTCTGAGACTGATAATTAATCTATTATCCGTTTTTGGCTACTATAAAAGCACTCTCGGCATTAACGAAATCATAGTTCAATTCAGACGAAATGTCTCTTCTTATCAAGAACGGAACCATTGTCAATGATGACGCCATGTTCAAGTCGGATGTCTTGGTGCACGATGGAAAGATTGTGTAAGTTTCAGTTCCTCTATTTTCCTTTAACTTTTTATTTGGTTATCAGAGAAATCGCACCATCTATCGATCCAACTCCAGGACTTGAAGTTGTCGATGCCACTGATCGTTTTGTGATTCCCGGAGGAATCGATCCTCACACTCATATGCAGCTTCCATTTATGGGAGAAGTTGCTAAAGATGATTTTCACAGAGGAACTGAAGCTGCTGTCGCGGGAGGCACTACTATGATTATTGACTTTGTGATTCCAACCAAAGGCGAATCCCTCCTGGTGGCTTATGATCGTTGGAGAGGATGGGCTGATCCAAAAGTTGTTTGCGATTATGGATTGTCAATGGCAATTACCAGTTGGGGACAAGAAATCGCCAAGGAAATGGAGATGGTGACTAAGGCGGATTACGGTAGCAGAAAGATTATATGGCCTGTTAAACAATTTTTTACTGATTTTTAGGCATCAACTCCTTCAAATTCTTCCTTGCCTACGCTGGAGTTTTCATGGTTCGAGATGAAGAATTCTATCAAGGAATGCTCCAATGTGCCAAACTCCGCGCTTTGGCTCGTGTGCACGCGGAGAACGGAGCTGTCATTGCTGAAAGATGCGAACATCTACTCTCATCTGGAATCACGGGACCAGAAGGACACACTCAGTCGCGACCAGAAGAGTTGGAGGCAGAAGCCACATTCCGTGCATGCACTATGGCTTCGCAGGTCCGTTCTACAGAAGGAAAAAACTTGAATTATGATTGGATTTCAGGCGAACTGCCCATTGTATGTGGTCCATGTTATGTCCAAGGGAGCTGCCGCCGCTATTGCTCATCACAGAAAGAAGGGAGCTGTGGTGTTTGGAGAACCAATTGCTGCTGGATTAGCAACTGATGGAAGTCATTATTATAACGAAGATTGGCTCCATGCTGCTAGATATATCATGTCTCCACCACTTTCTCGTGATCCATCCACTCCAAATGCTCTCATGAAGCTCTTGGCTGCGTAAATTCTAGCTCAGAATTTTTGAAATAATGAAATTGCTCTATTTTCAGAGGCGAACTTCACTTGACAGCTACTGACAATTGTACATTCGACTGCCACCAAAAATCTCTTGGAAAAGATGATTTCACGAAAATTCCAAATGGAGTTAACGGTGTTGAAGACAGAATGTCAGTGGTTTGGGATAAGGGAGTGCATGCTGGAATCATTGATCCAATGAAGTTCGTAGCTGTCACTTCCACAATGGCTGCCAAAATCTTCAATTGTTATCCACGGAAAGGAAGAATCGCCGTTGGATCTGATGCGGATATTGTTGTTTGGAATGCGAACGCTACTAGAACTATTTCAAAGGATACCCATCATCATGTGAGTTCGAAAAATAAAGAAGTGATAATAATGATTATTTTTTCAGGCCATCGATTTCAATATTTTCGAGGGAATGCAAGTCCATGGAGTTCCAGAAACTACAATCTGCCGTGGTCGTATCGTTTGGGCTGATGGACAATTGAGAACTGTTCAGGGAGCTGGACGATTCGTTCCTCTTCCTCCAGATTCTCAAATCGTCTTCTCCGCTGTCGACAACCGTGGCAAAGCTTTGGAACCAGTGAAAGTGGAACGTGCTCCATATGTTGCAACGACGCTCGAGGCTCCCGATGCTAATGCTAACATTGTTGTTAAAACTAGAAGTGCTGTTCCACCAGGAGGTATCAGCAGTATTCAATTCTAAACTCTTTCTGTAAATAAAGAACTTCTCATAATTGGTATTATTAACTGGAAAAAAAAACAATAAAATCATAACAAAAACGTAACAAAAAAGACAATCATTTTTCAGATCAATTTTTCTTCCCTCCTTTCTTCTTCTTCTGACCCAACATCTGTTTCTTCCCAACTCCTTTAGCTTTCAGTAGTGGTTTCCCCTTTTTCACTTTAGGAATCGCCGTCGTCTTTCCACTCTTCTTCTTAACTTCGGAGATCTCGTCTTCTGGAACCTCCACATCGCCACTTTCTTTCTGTGCTGCTTCGGCAGCTTCACGAGCTCGTTTCTTGATCAGACTAAAAAAACTACCGTATTAAAAATCACAAATTTGGAGGACCGTTTTACCTTTTCACCTTTCTAGCTTTTTTCTTCTCCTCTTTGAAACTTTTGGCCAATTCAACTGCTTTCTTCTCGGCTTCTTCATAATCGTTCTTTGTCAGCTTTTCGGCTGGTGCAGGAGCTTCAAAATGAAGTGGATCTTGCCCGCGAGCACATTTGTCGAATTTCTTCACCAAATCGTAAATCTTCTTTCTTCTCTTGGCATTCAGATGCTCTTTCTTTCCAACCTCAAACAGCATCGCTCCAATTTCTTTATAACTGAACTCGATTCCAGCTTCTTGCTCCATTTCTTCTCCTTCCTCGGCCGCTGACACCATGTCACTCTTTTGTTGTAGAATTGTTTTGAAGATTTCATCGTAAAGAGATGTGAATAAGTATTCACTGATGTCCTTATCACCGATGAGTTCGATGTACGGTTTTAGACAAGCAGTCACTTGTTTCTTCGTCAAACCACCTGCTGCGTCTAGCTCATCGAGAAGAATCGAAGCGAAATGGAATTTCAGTGCTTCATTGAAAGATTTATCTGAAATTAGTATGATGTTGAGAACTAAAAACAGATTATCTAACTGTGTAACTGAATGTAACTAATAGTAAGTATACAACTGACCTGCAGAGATAGTAGTTTTTTGGAAAACGTTCCAATACTGATCACGAATCTCTTTCTTCCATTTCAAACCGGCAAGATGAGCGAAGCAAGAACGGACCATACGACGAACTTCCTGTAATACAAGAATTAATTTCCTGTGTGCAATGAGTCTTTAAATATACCATAAGGAACTTGTCCATTCTCCACCGATCAATATGTGGCCACTCGTTCGAAAGACTTTTCAAGAAGCAGGCAACAAATCGAACTTTTTCATCTTCCGATGTGAAAATATTAATAAGTCCTCCGATTCGGTCGGCCAGTTCTTCTTGGAGCATCATCTTATCTTGCATCCACATCACATAATGAAGTCCTTTGCACAATCGCATCAAATCTGCTTCGTCGAATGCTGAAAATATACATTTGATTTAATGTATCTGTAAGTTGACAGACAGATACTTACGTTTCTTTGCAGACTGATCACGAATCCAATCGTGCAGAACACGAAGAGCTCGTTGACGAGTGGCTGGTTCGCCACATGCCAACTTCTGAGCAAAGACTACTTCGACACTTGCCAAGTCGACATCCATCCTAGGAAGACTGAAAACAAATCAATTTTTATTAGTTTTCACTGCAACTCCATGCCTGAACGGCTCGCAAGACGACAAATTATTGGAAAATCGAAAATATGCGCGTTAGCTTTTCCAAACTGGGCTTATGTGAAAATTTTTGAACAGAAATGTTGTACAATTTACGATAATTTTTTTTACGATAATTTCAACATCAATTTGCTGATAACCCATTATTCACAGAGAAAAGAAGGAAAGTTAAGAGAAAATTGCAGAAAAAATCCGATTTTTTTGGTGCAGCGGAGCGCGCTTGCATTACTAGTGTTGTGAAGGGAGACCCCGCAAATTCCGGGGAAAGAAAAAACCGGGGAAAAAAATAGGGGAAAAGTGGGCGGAGTCGAGAAAAACCGTGCGGCAAAACCGTGCCAGGGTTGCAATTTAGGCTCCGCCCCCTCATGACCGTGTCCAAATGTGCAGAAAAACCGTGCGGCAAAACCGTGCCAGGGTTGCAATTTAGGCTCCGCCCCCTCATGACCGTGTCCAAATGTGCAGAAAAACCGTGCGGCAAAACCGTGCCAGGGTTGCATTTTAGGCTCCGCCCCTGACTCCGCCCACTTTTCTCCGGAGTTTTTTTTCCCCGGAAATTTTTTTCTCCGGAATTTGCGGGGTCTCCCCTTCCCGACCCCGCAAATTCCGGAGAAAAAAATTTCCGGGGAAAAAAACTTTGAAGAAAAGTGGGCGGAGTGGAATTCGAATTCCACCACAGTGGCGATGATATCAGATCTGCCGGTCTACTGG